GTGGTTGAAACACATTTAAGAGACGGATCACGTTTTGTTCAGCCGGATAATCTCCACATGTCTACCCTACTTTTATAATGTTCTAATCATAAATCTAGTCGCCAGAAGCAAAATGCTAACGTTATGCTCTAAAGGAACTACAGCAGGGTCGCTGCTTCAACGTCACGCCAACTTAAGATCCATATTCAAACATACAGATTCTAAATGGAACGATTTGAAGCGTTTGTTTGAACAGTTTGCAGGAGGCAGGTACTTGCTTTCAAACAGAACAGAAACTAACTTAGAGGAGTGTTTACGTGTTCGGCGTAATGACGTACAACGTCCTCGACAACTTCTGTAGTCCTATTCAGCCATTTGGTAACAACCATCGTTTTTCAGACACGTCAACTCTTCAGAAATCACCAGTGGGGTCACTGCTGATGGGTTTAATGTCGTAGAACAAAACGGGATCTGTCTCTTAAATGTGTCTCAACCACAGACCTTATTGCCAGCTACTAAACCCTATGGAGAAATTGCATTGCTTTTTGGTGAAGGAACCGGAAGTGGTGAAATGCTAACTCACTTCCGGGTTTTAGGATGCGTCACTGTGGCACTCTATATGGACTAGAGCAATATTCAAATTGCAGGGAACATAATATTTGTTAAGGCAAATTAATCATTTGTATTGAAGTATTGTGAAGCAGGAGAGAGATTCCAGCCTACAAATCATATTCTAACGACTTAACAATACATGTTTTTCTTCTTTAACAAATCACACATTTATCATTTACTATATTTTTCATGATAATGGGAATCGGGATAAATCATTTTTCCAAATTGAGCAGCCCCAATATCCTTAATAATGTTATAAAATGTAGACAACAGAACATCCTTCATACTTGGGTTTCTCCATGGGGTCCGGTTCGTTTCGTCCTTCTCCCACTGGGCTCCTTTCGGCCTCCTCTCCTGTCAGGAGGTGCAGCTCTGCTTCCACTTTCCCCTAAAATCACAACAACAAAAAAAACACTTTCAGTTACAAAGTGCTGTTATCTAACTCATAATGCTCTATTTTGAGGTTTAACATCAAAGAGGAAATATTCTGCTCATTTTCAGGTCCATATTTGTATTTGTTTCTCTACTGTGACAGACATGCCAATCGGAGCGTGACTGTTACATAGTGATGTTACTGTGTTCCGAAACGTTGGGATTTTAGCCTTTGCAGACCATTTACATGCACACAAATCTATATAACACACAACAGGAACCCATACAAATCACAATAGGGCCTCTTTAAAATATGTGTTGCTTTTTTACTGTGACTCACCGTAAGTTCAAACTCGTCGTCTTCATTTCTCGCCACAAACGGCCACCAGCCTTTGATCCTCTTCTGCTTGAAGATGGATATTGAGGGCATCTCGCCTTGATTGGTCACCATCTCGAGGGTGCACTGCTTGGCTGTCTTTGCACCGCGTGGAAAACGGTTCAGGTCCAGCTCAATTGCACCTATAAAGAGACATTAAACAAAGAAATTAACTAATGGCGTCCCCCAGGGCTCTGTACTTGGTCCCCTGCTTTTCATCATGTTTGTCCTGCAACTTGGACAAAAATCCTTCGTCACCACGACCTCTGATTTTATTGTATTCTGATGAAAACTAGCTCTATCTTTTCAACAAAAACTATTACTGCAGCCACCTTCACAAACCGCCTCTGTGACATAAAAAAATTGATGCAAAACAACTTTTTCAAACTGAACTGCGACAAATTAAAAATCACAATTTCCCTCCTCCTCGTCTCAGACCTTTTGTTTAATGTGTTGTTATTTTCTTCATTTGCTTTTAAAGCCGCTTTGAGCACTCCTACCTTCTAAATAGATTATATTTTAATTCTACGGCATTAACAGTTGTTCACACAAATTAAGGGTTATCATAATAATAATACAAATACATGACGCTTTTCTAGAAACTCAAAGACGCTTTGACAGAGAAACACAAAGACGAAGAAAATATGTAAAGATACAAACAAAAACAGAAAAGGGGGGAGGGGGGGAGATGGTCATTACTAGTAATAGTTTTTCGTCCACTGCACCTAAGAAGTCGTCCGCAGAGAAATGGTCGGCGTCCCACACTTGCAGGTTGAGTCGAGCGGGGATCTTGTACTCGGTCTCGTCCCAGGCGAACATGGACTCTTTTTTCGAGATGACGATCTTCTCCTCGGCCATGAGGTAGTCGAAGGGGTAGACGTAGCGCCAGTTGAAGTTTCCCTCCCCGGTGATGGAGTGGTAGTGGACGTCTGTGTCCTGCTTGTCCTCCTGCTGCCCTTTCAACCAGCTGTCAGAGGGAAAAGAGGTAGGAGGGATTCAGAATATTACACAAAGCAAGCAGCGTTTGAATAGTTTAGTTGTTGTTTTTGTCAACCAATCTAATGACAGGGCTATTGTGGGAAAGACTTAACAATCTCTTACATTTTTGAGTTTTTTCTCATACATTTTGAGATTTTCGTCTCATACATTTGAGTTTTTTCTCATACATTTTGAGATTTTCGTCTCATACATTTTTGAATTTTTTCTCATGTATTGTGAAATTTTCGTCTCATACATTTTGAGATTTTCGTCTAATACATTTTCAAATTTTTCCTCAACAAATAATACTTTTCACATTTGTTATTACCTACAATGACCTTAATATGCTGTCCTACCAATCTAAATCATGACAAAATAATAGTTTTTAAATGTATTGTGCTTTAGTCTTTAGTTGTGCCACCAAAAATAAAAATGTAAATACAGGAATGATTTTAAATAAAAGCCTCTGATTACCCTCGGACAAAGATGTCACTCGATTTCTCTCCGGTGAAGATATCATCGTCCTCCAGAACGACTTCATCTGTGTTCCAGACGATCACCCTCAGCTCAAACCTGGACACAAACAGAAATGACAGACAGGATATAAAATAAAACACTTCAGTAAAACCTTAACATTTCTTTAGATAAAAGCTCAAGTACTGTTGGATTTGTTCAGCACAGTTTGAACAAATGCTTGATTAGAGAACGTACTTCTTTGGTCTCCTGGGTGAGATATCGAGCGCAGGACCGGGTGCCGTCATATCTTTAGGGAACATGTCCACCCACATCTCAATCCTTCCCTAAAAACAATTTTGAACCACAAGGGGGGGTGTACGGTGTTAGGGTAGGCAAACAAAACTTGAAAGCATACATTCATTTAGTTTAAAGATTAAAGCAAATTTGATTTATATAACCCAAAATCAACAAAAAAATACCTTTTGTACAGATCAACTAACATGAATGTAGAAACAACATACTGAAATTACAACATACATAGACAATCCAATTGACAAAAGGGCATTTGTTAAATAAATAAAAAAATATATAAAATAGATCAAATAAGATCAAATAAAAAAAATGCATTAATAAAATAAATAGAATTAAATAAAATGTAGGACCCTGGATTTTTAGGACCCAAGTTTTCAAATATAACGAACATTACACATACATAAAACGGTCAGTGTAGGTGGCAGATACAGTGTACAATCAGATGAATAGGCATGGAAATAAATAAAGGTCAGTATAAAGATGATACAGGGATAACAAAGTACAGAATAGGACCCATTTATAACCGAAGAGCGAAGAAGACAGTCCTAGAAGTTTGTTTTATGTGGGAGTTAAAGAACGTATCCTGGTTGAAGATGAAGTAGAGTTATTATGGTTATACTGAACGACTCACCTGTTCGATGCCAGGCTTGTCGGGGTGCAGCAGCGGTCTGGTTTCCACGTGTTCTGGGACCAATTTGCAGCCGGCCTTTGGGATTTCCTCCCAGTGCTTCAACACGGTGAGAGCCAGATGTTCATCCGTCTGTCGCTTCAAACCTGACAAACATCAACAAATCAGGGTAACAACTGGTTTAAAATCACTCTTGTTGTATTTTTAAGCAATTTAGATAAAGTGTGGAAGTTAAGTCCTTATTTATGCATTTATATATTGAGAGATTTCAGTGATTACAGGACAGGTGAAGACAAATACAAGGTCACATACAGACAAGAGGGTGACAAAAACCGACTGAATAATTCAACATGGGTATAGACTACTAAGTGTGTGTGTGTGTGTCTTAGTATTACTATACTTGTGGGGACCTAAATCTGTTTACACAGTCACGTGTGGGGACTCGCCTCCCTTATGGGGACAAAATGGTGGTCCCCATGAGGGGAATAATTCACTTTAGGGTGAAGACTTGGTTAGGGTTAGGCATGTGTTGGTTATGGTTAGGATAATTCTCCAGGAAATGCATGTAAGTCAATGTAATGTCCCCTGAAGTGATGTATACATGGTAAGTAGTGTGTGTGTGTGTGTGTGTGTGTGTGTGTGTGTGTGTGTGTGTGTGTACAAGTAAAAGAGATAAATATATATAAATAATAATAATAAAAAAGATACAAAATAAATATTAAAGAGAATAATAATAATAAAATGGGTTATCCGTTTAATGAGTGAAACGATCATCTACCGTTCTCATCCTCTATCTCGGTGGGGGCCATGAACACTCGGTTCTCCACCTTCACGCGTCCCGCCGGGCCGTAGTGAGGTCCGTCCAGCTTCCCGTCCTTACAAAGCTTCGCCAGGATCTGAGTGGGTTTCATCGGGTCCCGCCACACGTTGTAACCATGGCTACGGAAAAACAAAAAACCAATCACACAATGTCATGATCTTGGTTTTTAGTTTCATGTTTTATTTTGAAAAGTGTTCTTCCCCTGTGTCTTGGTTAGTACACTAGATTCGAATCAAAACATGATTTGTGATTTTGTGAACTACCCGATTCATTAGGGGTGGGGTAAATAATCGATACAGCATAGTATCGCGATACTTTGTGTGGCGATATTGTATCGATACACACAGACGCCAAGTATCGATATTTTATATATAAACTATTCATATTGCAAATCACAATTAGCTTGGCAAAGCTACCATCACATTCTGAGCGAGCTAAGAAAATAACTCAATCAATCACCTACTCTATGTGCAAAGAC